TGGTGCTGCCCGGGCACCGTGGGGCTGCGCGTGGTCAGCACCGACAGGTCCGACGGCAGCTCCAAGGGCAGCTCGAACTGCTCCTCGGCCGAGATGGAGGACGAGACGCTGCTGTCCACGGGCTCCGCCGTGGGCAGCTGCTGCGAGAAGACCTCGAACAAACCCATGTCCTTGCCGCGGTTGCTGTCGAGACCGAGGCCTTCGCCGAGCGTTAGGAGCTCCGACGACGACGACTCCGGGCTCTCCCCTAAAGCCTGCATGGAGGGCGTGTTCTTGAGGACGAAGTCCATGATGTCCGAAGGGAGGATGTTCCCGCAGTCGTCGCTGTTGTTGTTGTCCGAGTCGGACTTCAGCAGCTCCGTGTTAAACGTGTCCAGCAGGTTCTTATCGGAGGGCGTGCTGGCGTGAGCCCTGCGGCCCGTGTCCAGGGAGCTCAGCTGCGCTTCCAGCGAGTCCGGGCCCTGCGCTTTAACCCTGCTCACGGGGTGGCAGTTGTCAAGCTTCGGGTCCGCCTTGTGGCCGCCGGCGCCCTTGGCGACCTGCACTTTCTCTCCAGAGTCTTCCGAGCGATCCAGCTTCAAGTTGTCCGTCCCGTTCTCCTTGCCGCTCCTCTTACTGACCTGGTTGACTTTTCTGCTCGTGGCCGTGACGCTTGTATCGCTCTCAGTCCCGTCGTCGACGCCGTCCAGCTGCGAGATTTTGGGCAGGTCGCACTGCTCTTCCTCCCTGAACAAGCTGTGGGGCGCCAGCCTCTCCTCCGCGCTCGAGGAAACCACGGTCCTGGTGAAGTTGTAGTAGTAGAGGTCGTCCTCATCCGACGTGCTCAGGTCGTCGGCGCCGTCCACTTGCCCTTCGGCAGAGCGCTTCCCTCGCTTCTTCCCGGTGGAGTTGCTGTAGAAGGGAATGTCCTCCTCCCCGTAAGACCGCACGCCGTACAGAGGAGTCAGCCCGAAGAACATGTTGGACCGGGCGCGAGCGCTTCTCCGCGGGTACCTCCGCTTGTAGGAGCCCTCCTCCTGAGCCTTAGCTCCGTCCTGGAGCAGGAGGCTGTTGTCTTGCACGGGTAAGCTCTCGTACGCGTTATTGGGGGCTTCCTGCGCCGGGGCTTCGCTCGGGCTTCCCTCAACGGCGGCACCGCCGTCCGCGTTTTCCGAGGCCGAGGAGGGCTCGGCCGGAGGGGCCGCGTCTGCCCCCGCGGACTGAGGCTC